TGCGTTGAGAGTTGCAAGCTTTCTTCATGTTGAAATTTGTTTTTGGTGTTTTGGTTTGTGATATATGGAAATGTTTTTTTGTGGACTACGTTATCTAGTGACTTCCACAAGAGAGTTAAATACGATAGATTGATATTGTAGTGCACCAAGATGCATTGAAGTAAGGCATTCATTGTTCTTGAAATGTACAATTTCCTTAAATGCTCTCTTTAGTCTTTTTATTTCATCAATATCTTTTTATATGCTAATATTTTCCCGGTAACACAGAGAAATAGTATATAGTTTTCTACAGATATTATCTAAGTATTGTGTAAAATGGAATATTGTCCGAAAAGAGTAACTTACAGAAAAACATACAAAATAAATTGTCTATAAAAAGTGAGGTGAAGAACTATATGAAAAAATTTAAATTAAGAATAAAGAGTAAATAATAAGTTGACGAAATAATGAAACAATAAGAACAATATTTTTTTCTCTCTTCTTCTGTTAACTTATGTGATGGATCACAGCCAATTCTTGCGAATATCGAAGGTGTAGTTGTTCTCCAAGTAGCACTTGTTATCGTCATCGACAAACTGAAAAATAGTTAAGACAATATGTAACTGATTTAAATATGCAACAGAAATAGTTTATATATATACGATAATATTTTGCTCAATTCAACCAGGAAAAACCTTAGATGTTAATACATTAACCATTACAAAAAAAAAAACACAAACTATAGGCAAACTGAAGATGATTTTCTTAAACTCGTCAAAGTTTTGATCTCATTACAATCTCTTTGGTATTATTAAGAGAACAAAAATGCAATAAATTTCCTGTGTATTGAAAACAATTTTACTTGCCAATTAATGCAACTGTAAATTATCAAAAGCAGGATATTAGTTTTGCCTTTAGGAAACAAATTATATAAACGTGCTATCAGAGTTTTTAAAGATTAATTATGCATGATAAAAATGTTACTTTTTTGAGTTTTGGTACCTTTGATTTAACGGAATAGGAGCCTCTAACAAGCATACCAGACGGCGTCGATTCCTCAAACATGACATGATTGTACGGCTCCGCTTGTGGACTATACGTTCCTAACATTTCCTTTCTACTATACACTGTTCTCCACCAAAAACAGTAAATATAATTAGGGAAACTTTTTTAAGAAATGTGTGTACGTGGGAAAACAAGAGTGAAAAGACAAAGATACCTTTGATTCCGGTCTTCCAAACCGTATTGCTGTATTGGAGGCCAGACACAATGTTGTTGGTCACACGGAAAGTGAAGACAAGAGTGTATTTAGAGCCTTCTTTGAGAGTGAACCATGGTCCTTTCGATGTCGGTTTTCCGTTTTCGGGGATTGTCAATACCATGTCTTCTCTATCCGGTGACCTAATTGTTAAGGTCAATATCTTTACCACGGGATCCGGAGTCTCTGCATTTACATTTTGTTGTTCTATCAAAACATTATATATGTGTATATGTATCGACAAATGAAAACAAATAATATACCATTCAATGTGGGCTAGCTAGTGAATTCTATTAGAACAAAAACTCATATTTATCTAACTCTAAATAGTGACATATTTTGTATTTTTCGCGAAAATGATATCATTATATGGCTACTTGGTCAGTTGGTCTAGTCTTATTTCACATTATTTCATTTACAACATTGAAATAGTATTGGAATTTGGTTTACCTCCGACCTCCTCGAGATCGACGCTGCCTAGAAGTTGTTCTTTCCATCTCCTCAAGCTTTCATCATCCTTAACAATTTCAAATGTAGAAAAGTGATTAATTGGATGATCTTGGAGATATGAAAACCAAATTCACGCATTATTCTATAGGCCAAAGATATTACATTTGTGGAACTAACATAGCCAAAATGCAATTGTGTTATAACATAAATGCAATCATAATAATTAATAAAAGAGATCAAAACCTTGTCTTTCTCGAGCTGTTCTTTGAGAGCGATCATGGGACCAATTTCAGGCTTTTTGTCTTCGTCTTCATTTTCATCGGAGTATCCTGACAAAGAACCGTGGCTGTTCTTTCTGCTTAACCCTTGTCCTGTTGGCTCTTCTGAAGACTCTCCATCTTTCTTCTCCTCATCTTTCAAACCCATTTTACCCTTGTTTTCCTGATCTCTCTATTTGTTCTCTGATTTAATTTAAATCCTACAAATTTTTCACCGTTGGATTTGATTCGATATAATATCCTGGATATGGTTATCCAACCGAGTTTAACGAGGAGACAACGAAAACCTCTTCAAAAAAAAGGAGGAAAACAAAAGAATAAAGAGAGTTTAATTAATTAAAGGGTTTGTTTTTTGGTC